GCTCAAGAACATAGTCTTTACTTGATGAATAACTTGTGTTCACTCCTTTAAATTGAAATTTGTAAATTTAGTACTGGTGCCCTAGCTGAAAAATGACATAGCAATAGCTGGGTCTGTGGTTGGGAGTGACAGGACATATAATTTTAATCACTTGAAAATCTCAAAAGCATTGGAAACTGCTCACTGATCTTCTCTAAACTATTGACATTTAGTTGCAACTACTTCGGTAATAAATTCACTAGCCCAAAGCTACCAAGAATTGAATTTAAATTTTCCTCCTCCATGCAACTTGAATCACTAATTAAACAGTAATGAAAGAAACGAATTGCAATGAATGACTTGAGCTCTTTTAATTAATAGCTTGCAACAAGAGCAAAGTTAGTAGAACTTGATTGTCTTTAATGGATTTTTATTAGGCATGATTGAACCTTTTGTTTGAATTATGTTTATCTTGGTTTTTTCTGAATCAAGTGGGAAGTAATATAATATTAAAGAGACTATATGCACCGATCAAAGTAATAACTTGAGAGTTATTGGAGATAGGAGGCAAACGTGCAGTAAAAATTTAAAGATGATAGTGATTCTAATGTTACCTCAATTCTCTGGTTGCCATTTTCATTTCTCTTTTCTCATGGTTGTGCCAAATTTGTTTATGTAAATGAGATGTTGTCTAGGAGAGAATTAAAGGGAGAGGAAATGAAAATTATAGAAATAAACAAAGAGTCAATTGTTTCAAAAGATAAAATCATCCAATTTTCCATTTTTCTCTTCTATTTTTCATAATTTTCAAACAAGAGAGGAAGTGAAAATTGTAGATATAGAAGAGATCTGTTGATAATGGATAGAGACCTCTAAAGATATGGGTGTTTTTTTTGTGTGTGTGTGTTGCCTAAAATCAACCACCAACTCTCTCTAGAGTCAATTGAAAAGTTGTCTTGCTTAGCTATTAAATTTAGAATTGAATATCAAGTGGGACAAAGTTGTACCTTCTAATTCTCTCATGTCATGGGCATCACCTTTTTCCAAGCACCACTAAGTACCTTCAATAGTTACCTTTATTGCACAAAAAATGAGGTAAGAAAAAATACAAATGCATATTCTGAACTGATTACCAATAATGATTCCATAGAAATGCTTGCCTTATCATCAAATACCTTAAATGCATTTTAGCAAACACCTTGTGTGCCATGGCAAGGTAATGATGGTCCAATGGTGGGGTTGAATTGGCTAGGGTTTGGTGTGACGATGGTTGGTGGTAGTGGGGCTTGGGTTGTGGTGTTGGCTGAAAAAAATAGGGTAGCGACGATGGTAGTGGGGCTATGGTGATAGCTTGGTTGATGGTTGGGAGGAAAGGGGTGGGTGGGGTATTGTAGAATAGAAAGAGGCTGAGAAAGATAGAATTACATGAGAGAGAATGATACCTTTGCTGCCATTGCTGGTCGTTACTATTCTTGCTCGTTGTCGTCGCCTTTGATCGGGGAAGAACACTACTAATGAAGAATGGAGTAATTTGGCTATGTGAATAAAACTAACACAGACCTAAAATATCCTATGGGGGTGTTTGTTTGGGTGGATAAAGTGGGATAACGCATGTTAGATTGAGTAAAAATATCGAGGGTCCACAAAACCCAGCTTTGGATTCCATTTAATGAATGAGATAACGTTGGGCTCAATTCTTCGGCTCTTAGTCTTTTAGGCCCCTTATCCCCTTTGACCCAACTGAATGAATCCCACCTGAACTTTGGGATAAGTAAGCCCATTGACAAGATTGGGCTAGTAATTACACTAATGCCCTTGTACAATAAGGTTTTCACTCTATCTCTTGTGTGTGTGTGTGTGTATATATATATATACATATATATATCCATCTCTCTCTATCTCTATCTCTGTTGTGTATATATATATATCTCAACCAAGCACCACTAAAGCCCCCACCCTTTTTCTATTTACCTCTCCACTGCAACGCCACCACGAACGACACCACAAACATCACCTATGCCACCTCCAACACCAGCAAACCTTATTCTCTTTTTATGTCAGCTATTCTTCCCTTCACATCTCTTTCCTCTATCTCTGTTAAATGCACACCTGGGCCCGATAGGTTTATTTCTTGATCTAATAATGTTAAAACCAAGTTATTACAGCTGGGTATTCTGCTTTCCCAAGAACAAGATTTATTTTATGTTGCAGAAAGAGAGGCAGAGAGAGACAGAAACTCCTCATGGGCATTATTCTATGTAATGGGTTTCGGCTGTTGATGGACAGAGACAAGAGGATCATCACCTTCGAGAGCTAGAAGAAGAACTCTGCTTTTCTAGGGTTGCAAGATGTGAGAGACGATGAGCTTTTGAGTATGGTGAGAGAAGATGATATTAATGGTGATGGGGATCTTGATCAAATGGAGTTTTGTGTATTGATGTTCAGATTGAGTCCTGAGTTGATGCAGGAGTCTGAGGCTTGGCTTGAACATGCTTTGCAACAAAAAATCAAGACTTCTTGGTTTGATAAGATCTGAGGTCAAGTTGATGATTTAATAATTAGTTATTCAATGCATAGGAGGTGGGTTCTTGTTGAATTTGGAAATAATATTGGTTGACAATGTTTTTTAGATTTTATTTTCATTATATTTGGGAATTAACATGCTTGATCATGTTGAAAATCATAAAGTGAGTGTAATCAAATTTGAAACTTGCATTGGGTATTTGATTTGGTTACCCAAATTTACAAATGAGATTAGATCTTTCTATTGTTCATATATGTTTTCTAGTTTCATATGTGGGATCAAGATGCATTTGTAATATGTTGCGTGTATGGTTGCCTTCATTTTGTATGTATACTTGAAGGCAACAAGTGATATGCCATATCGGTACATGTAGTTACGTAATGTAAAATATGTTTATGTGACATTGAATCATTTATTTCGTTGTTCTTGATTTATTTTTTCAAAACAATGTGGAGCAATGTTACGAGGAAATTAATGTGCTCGCACTTGTGAACTTTTAGAAAAATAAAAATTGAATTATTTTTGGTATTTCCCCTTGGTGATACAACTGTTACATTTTTATGAAATATAAAGGTGGACAACATAAATAAAATTACATAGCCAACATTGACTTTGACTTGGATAGGATTAAAGGTTAAACTCGTAAATTTATGTGAAAGGAAAGAGATTTGACCAAATAAAATAATGGTTTGTCTGTGGGCTCCATAATATAAAAAATTACTTTCCAAATGAGGGATAAAATTATACCACTTCATTGGTATCCTAATTATTGGGTTTTCATTGGATTGGTTTAGATTTTTAATCCAAACCAATCTTATCCCCAAAGCTTTGCCAAACCCACCCTATAAGGATATGAAAGGTTAGGACTTAAATGGAGGAGAGAAAGAAGGACTAACAGCCGAAAATTACAAAGGGGGAGAGGTAGAGATCAGTGTTATCAAATCTGGACTGGACCGGTTCCACCATGAATCGGGACCTTAACCAGTTCGGTTCCTTAATTGGACATCATAAAAAAGAGAACCAGCTAAAAACCAAAATATCGACCGATTTTTGATAAAAACCGTGAACAAGCAGGTTTTTAAAAATCAGACGGTTTGAATTTTTTGCCCTAAATCCCAAAGGCACAAGCAAAAGCAGTGACGGTGCATAAAAAGGATCATCATCATCACAGCCTTGATTTTTGTTTGAAATCATCATCTTCGCCGCCTCATAAATGGAGTTTTGGCAGAGGAAGATACTATTACATATATAGATAGATAGATATTTGCACAGGGAGAGAGAGATGGGTATGGAGAAAATATTCATTGAAACGGTGCATACAAAGGATTGTTGATTTTTCGATCAACCGTGAAATCATTAGCCGGTGGACAGAGAAGCGGCTCACCAGCGACAATGATCAGTGCTCAGGCGGCACTCAGGCGACACGACACTGCTCTTCTTCTCCTTCTCTCTCTCTCTCTCTCTGCATGCTCCCAGTCATCGAGTCAGTGTATACATAGCCAACACATACATAAATGCAGCCAGTGCACCTAACAAATAACAAGGGTTAGAAAGTCAATAATTATCAATCACACCCCCAAATTGAATAAAATCTTCAAGTTAGAAATTTAGAATATTACTTTGTGGAATTTATTTTTATTGTGATGGTAGATTTTATGATTGGTATAAAAAATTGTATATATTGTGAACATATTTTATATTTTTTTGGCTAAATTATTATATTTTATAATTTTTTTTATTATATAATCGGTCTGACCAGTTGAACCAATAAATCATTAACTCGGTCCTTCTGTCGGTTCAATGTCCGGTTCGATTCTGATAACATTGGTAGATACTAATAAGTGAGAAGCAATCAAAGGTGATTATTAGGGTTTAGTGTGAAATTTAATTAAATAGGATAAGAATGAGATAGTTGTATTATTAGAGGGCAAATGTCGAAAAAAAAATATTTTTCAAGAATGCTGATATTTTGAAGTAGTATAAATTTATTCTTTATATACAAAAATTGATCATCACAAATTATATGTTTGATTCATTTTGGTTCCTGTTATTTCTTTTTTAGTACTTTAGTTTATATTGCAAATAACTCAAAGCCATGCAAACAAACAAAAGGATAAACTATAAAAAACATGAGTTACAAAGATGAACAGAGAATATTGCATTAGCACATAAAATTCTATTAAAATTAATTTAATTTGAGTTTTTAAAGAGTTCTCATTGGTGAATTGTCTAATAACCAATAATTATTATTGTTTTGTATTTTGGGAAAATGATTGACATTTTTAAAATATAATATTTTTATATTCAAAATAATTCACATGCACGTATATACGACTAATTTTTAAAATGTTCTCGTATCATATACAGTTGTCCACCAAGTATAAAAGCAGTTTCGAAAAATGGCAAACAATAGAAAGCGTGCAGATATTAACACGTGGACGTAAGCATATAAACGGATGCAAACCTATTTATATTTCACTCTTTATACCCATTTCTGTTCCGCCCATATCTCTCTCTCTCTCCTCTTCTCTCCCTATCCTCACCGCCGTTCTCTGCTCTCGCATCCCCTCTCTACCTCTTACTTCAAATTCCCCCTCAAACCCTAGTTCCTAATATATCAGCTTCATCGTGCTCTTACCTCTCTATCAATCTTCGAAAAAATTCGTTCTGGTGTCGTTTAATTATTCTTTAAATTATCAGTAAGTTCCAGCTTAGACGGAGCTTTAGAGAATCGAAGAATGGCAAGTTCGACGACGAGTAATGTCTACGTCCAGGTGATCGAGGACGTCATCAGCAAAGTCCGTGACGAGTTCCTTAACAACGGCGGTCCTGGCGAGAGTGTCCTCAGCGAGCTTCAAGGGGTAATCTTTTTCAGTTTTTTTCCGAATAAAAATAAATTGTTGTAGTGCTGGTTGGTTTCACTCTAACCGTTTGTTTAGCAGAAATATTTGTTGCGTTTATTCTGTCAAAATTGAATGTTTCTAGTCATTGATTTAAGGTTTCGATCTGATTTGTTTTAGGGTTTTTGCGGATTTCATATTCTTCCCCGTTCTGGTGAAATTAATTGGTGTCTAATTAGCGATGTTATGTGGATGTTTAGATGTGGGAAATGAAAATGATGCAAGCGGGTGCCATATTGGGTCCGATAGACAGGTCTTTGGCACCGAAGCCGACACCAGGTGGTGTTATTACCCCTGTTCACGATCTCAATGTACCTTATGAAGGGACCGAGGAGTACGAAACTCCCACTGCTGATTTACTGTTTCCTCCCGTGAGTTCTTGCTTCCCTTTCTGTTATATGCGAATACTGAAGTAATTTTCCCGTATATACATGTACATATGTGGTGTTCTTATTGTGGAGTTTATATCCAGACGCCATTGCAGACTCCCATGCAAACGCCTCTACCAGGAACAGCTCAGACACCTTTGCCGGGAACTACCCAAACCCCTTTGCCCGGGACAGCTGACAGTTCGCTGTATAACATTCCTACTGGTGGAACTCCTATCACCCCCAATGACTACCCTGCCCTGAATGACGCTGGTGGTGTTACTGAGATGAAAGCTGGGAGGCCCAGTCCATACATGGTAGACCCTTTAGATACTCTACTATGTCAGTGCATCTCTAAACATGACTAAAATTTTTACTCAAATTTAAGTTAGTATTTGAGTAAAATGCTTGATTTGATACAAAGGACTCTAATGGACAAATTCAAATTTAAAGAAGGAGAAACTTAAATTTAAATGAGGGTAAATCCAAAATTAAATGAGAGTAAAGATGACCATTGAATCTTTAAAAGAGGCTGAAATCTCACCATTAAAGATTTGGGTAAGAATTAGAGTCTTTCTTAATTTGAGTAAACAAAAAAGAGTCTTCCTTGATTTGGAATAAGTTTAAGTAAGGATTGAAGTAGATTTTTTAGATTTTTTTACTCAAATTTAAATTTAAGTTTAAATTTGAGTCAGGAGTGGAGATGCCCTCATATCTATTTTGTCTCATAATTGGTGCTGTTCTAATTCTTGCGCATTCTGATGTGGAGGCTAGTCTTTCTATTTGGTTGGTGACTAGGTGTTTCTACATGTTTTCTAGCATTTGGGATGATTCTAGAAGTAAAATACTAACATTTTTTTCTTTTCTACTTGTGCAGCAACCACCTCAACCTTGGATGAGCCAAAGGCCTCCGCTTGATGTCAATGTTGGTAAGGCTACTGGTCCTAGTGTATTCATTTACATGTTACTAACAGTCATGTGTTAAGAATTGTCTTTATCTCATTGTAGCTTATGTGGAAGGCCGTGAAGAGGTGGACAAGGGAGCGTCTCATCGACCAATGACCCAGGTGAATTGTTATCTAGAGTGCATGTTGAGTGATATTGAATCATGTTTGGCTTTTAGTTTCATGGAAATTTGCAAGCTGGATACCTTGATTGCTGGATCCTAAGTTTGTATTTCTCCTTTCGGGGAATGTTTTATGTGACATTCAGAATTCATTTGTTATTATTTGGCCATTTTCCATTCCTAAACAGACAAGTGGAAGTATGAGTGGTTATCTTTTCTGTCCCCTCCGCCAAACAAAAACCCACAACCCATTGTTGTTGGTTTGGGAAAAGTCATTGTAGGACAACTCACACAACTTTAATGTGGGGAAAAAATTAATTAAAAAATAGCACATAGTTTAATCCCAAATTAATCGAGGAGAAAAGCATAAGGAAACATGTATGAAAAATACCAATATGATAAATGTACATTAGTGTAATCCGCTAGCTATCATATCAACCTACTACTGTTCAAATACATGGAAAAGTAAAAAAGAAAAAAATAACAATAGTAACTGTAAAGATTGAAAACTAATGAGCATAAGTACTGAAAATTTTCGAGGGAAGAAGAAAGGCATTGAAAAAATAACATAACTGGCAGCCAAAACAAACTATCTTTTCTGAACTACCACTAGCAAAAGAGAAAAAAAATTTAACGATGGGTTTTAACCTCATATTGGAAGAGCATGACAAGGATGATGTTACAGAATATCAATGTACCAAAGGGTTTTAAAGTATGAAAAATTGTTGTTGCAATTAGGGAGATATGAAATATATATCGGCTCAAATATATGGGGAGATGAAGGACTTCCACCAATTATTTCATGTCTAATCACCAATCTGGCTGTACTAGAAGAATGGCTGTGTTGAGAAGCTGAGAAAATGAGGTGAGGGATAATGAGAGATTTACAATTTTGGGGATACAGCGCTATACAGGAATGTCGTGTCACACTAGTTTTGAGTTTTATAGTTGTTTCTCAGGATTAAACTGATCTTGTGAACAGAAAGAGAAGGAAGAACAAGTCAGTGCTATGTTAAGGAGAGGAGGAAGAAACATTAAAATGGATGAATAAGGGGGAGAGAGAAGAATACAAAAGAACAAAAGCTGAAATGGGCACTAAGGTTGATTGATAGCCAATCCTACTTTTTGTTCTGCTGCCGCTGCTAATGTTGAATGCCCTAACTAGCTTTGGTTTTAGTATATATCTTGGAGAGACCTCCTTGCCATTGAGTTATGGCAGAATGGCTTTACATAATGTGTCCTTATTGCTCCAATTAATGAGCAATAGACGAGCCACATAGATCACCAGACATTTTTCTCCTGTCTCCTTTTAAAACTTGCGTTTTGGCCCTTTACATTCTTGTTAGTTAGTTGAAAAGTATCCATGTTTGTGTGATAGTATGGGTAGGCCCATGTGTCTTGATTGTTGGAGATTGGCATGTGGGACCTATGTGTTCGTGTTGGCACTTGGCAACTTTCCATTTCAACAAATCAGAGTTAGAAAGAGGATGAGGGGGCAGGGGGGGGGGGGAGGATGGAAGGTAGATTAGGTTTTAAGGCTACCTTGTAAAAGAAGAGCTCTTGCCCCCCTTTTTAGTTTGAGTGACTTTAACTCACATACTAGTAAACTTCTGAATATATAATGTAATTCTCTGTAAAGGCGGCAGGCAAACTGCCCCTTCTTGCTTTCTACTTATTCTACAAAATTTTTAGAACGCACCCATATTATTTCTTCACTTCTCAATACTGAATCTCATGGGGGAAATAATAGAACTATGTGTAGGAAGTATTTCCAGTTGAGGTTTTTTTACTTACTTCATTTGGATTTCCCTTTGAATGATACTCCATTTTCGAAGAAGCTCCCTCAGCCTCAAGAGCAAAGTTAATCTACTGCCGTGTTGTGAAGTTAGGACTTATACCCTGCCGGTTTTCAATATGGCTGGAGAATGGCTTGTATACTGGAAAACGAGGATACTAGTATGTATTAATCTATGACTCGTCCCTAAATTACTTTCTTTGCTATCATAAAGCAGTAAGCTGAAACATATCCTCTTCAAGACTGAGCACTTTCTTGATTTAGGAGATAAGGATGCACTTCAAGACCAAATCCCATCTCATGAGACTTTATGAATTTCCGGACAAGCAATCCAGGAAATCCCCCCCCCCCCCCCACCTCCCTTCCACTGAAAAAGTTAAAAGAAAAGAAAAATAAAGTAAGCTAAATGCTTCTGCTACCTAACATATTATGAGACCCTGGTGTTTTAATCTCATCTCAGATGATTTTGTTAGTTTGGGGTAAATGTGCAGGCAATTCATCTTGATACAATTATGTAGTGTTATCACTTATTTATTGAAAAGAAGTTGCTGTTGATGATGTAATTTCACTATCCGTCTTGGGTGCCTTTTGGTTAACTGGGATATTAAAGCTCAATTAGTGGTGCACAGCTAAACTTGTATGATAGAAAGATTAGTGGTAAATTTGTTTCAAAATTGCCTTCCTTTGAGTCTAACGAACATTGGGACTTTCCACTATAAATATCAATTTTTTTTTCCCTGTAGTGGAATATTTTTTAAATGGTATGTGTGCTATTGTGAAACTGTTGCAAATTTTATTTTTAGCACACTTAATGGGGCTGTTTTTATTTGTGACATATAATCTTATCTTACAGTGCCTTATTATCTATGAAATCCAATATTGGTCTTTATTTTGGAGAAAAATGTAGGATTTCTTCACGATGTCTTCTGGAAAACGGAAACGAGATGATTTTGCATCGCAATACCATGCGGGAGGATACATACCACAACAAGATGGAGCTGGAGATGCTACATCTGAGGAGGTTAAGGTATATCTTCTTCATTTGACCCCACTGTACAACATTTGTTGTTTGATGTGTTTCAGCTCAGGAAGTTCACATCATCTTGGTGCCCACATGAATTCTGATGAAATTATACCATTATTGTACCAAGTTGTGGACTCATGTCTTCCTCCTCAGACACTCTTTAAAAGCATTTTATCTGTCACAAAGGGGAAAAATGATTATTGACAATTTTAGACTACTTTAGGTTTGATCATGTCAACACTAATGTACAAAATCCCATTAGAATTCTACAATTGCATGTGCTGGGTGAGAATAGTAGTTGAATGGGTGACCCCTTGGAAGTCCTCCAGTTGCAAATATTGTCCTATCAAAAAGGATTACGCTAGACTGATTGTACCATTTCTGTTGGGTTAATCTGTAGTTTTGTCATTGTCAGAGTACTGTTGTTGCCGAAGTCTGCCAACCCAATGATCTCCAGGAGTGATGATCAGAGTGTTGATCCTTTACTGAAGCAAGTGATTTTTAACCTTTGTAGGTTTCTGTCGGAGGAAGCCTGATTTAGGTTTTTGAACCATCAGCCCAAGAACAACACTGAAAAAAAAGGGAAAGCTGATTGAGTGCCATTTCTTTTTTTTTTTTGGTCATTCTCTTGTTGTATCCAATGTCAAACATCCGCTGAAAATTTGCTGGCCATATGAGGAGAAAAATCAAAGATTTCATATATGATATTTCCTTCCGGACCCTCCAGTCCCTCTTGGGTCTGCAATAGGTTGAAGGCCTGGGCTTTTGTTGTTTTTGATTTTTTCTCAAATGTAGAAAGATCAGTCCTGCATACTACATGAGTATTTGTGTGGTGTGGCTCTAGCATGCTGTTGTATCATAGTTCTGTTTTATAAAGGACCGCTAACGTTACCATCACTTTGGAATCATTAAGTTTATCTTTATCTCGTATGATGTCTTTCTTTTTGGTCATTCAATTTTTCGGACGATTGGGTGGTTTCTTTCTCAGGTAGGTCATGGTAGCAGCACTCAAGGTGGCTTGGTCACTGCTGCTAGCCGAGGGATGCTTTTACAAGGGGTGAGGATGTCTAAGAGGATTCCTCAACTGGATGGGCCAATGCCTGACCCTTATGATGATGTGCTTTCTACACCTAACGTAAGCATTGTTTTCATTGTTTTTCAACATACATGATTGCAATACTAAGCTTTTCTTGTGCACTTCCCATATTTAAAACTGCACTTGTGCAATAGTAAGTGCATGTGCTAGCATAGGTCCCAAATTTGGCACCTTAGACATGTGTGTCTGTGTAGTACAACATATTACTTGCATACACCCAAATTTGGTGTTTTTTGGCATTTGTGCCATGGGCATTTTACTGCTGATGTGCATATATGCAGTTTCTATTCAATGCTGATGTATATGTATGCAGTTTCTGTTTGATAACTGTCAGCCTAATGGTGCTGGAATTCTCTTATGCTTTAATAGTGTTATGCATTTCTTGACCACGTTTCTGGTGCATATATTTTAATGGTGGCAATATGAGTGCATACTCAAACCATTTAAGGTTCCACACGGAAACCTGACGTTTGACCATGTATTCCCTCCACTTTTTAATCTTGATTTGATATATAACATTCCTTTTAAGTTCTGTTACGGTCATGAACAATAATTGGTGTTGCTATTTGCCAGTCCTTTTGTAAATCAGCAAGGTTTAACCGCCTTTAGATGGGCAGCCCAGGGCACGAGGGTCTCGCTACTGCAAGGTCTGGGACGGGGAGGTTCAGATATACGCATAGTTACTTTTGAATGCATACAGAGATGCTGTTTCTATGACTTACCCCTTTGATGCTTAGGTCAGAATGGAGCAGCCTTACTGCTCCACCCAGACCCACTGTATTAGTGCAATAGTTTTCGATTGTCTTACCATGATATCTAAGAGGGGAGTGAAAAGGATTTGGATAAAGCTTGGAATTGGAACTTATCAGGTTTATTTTGGTATTTTAGTTATTAGTGGGTTTAGAATATTCACGTGTGGAAAAGGATAAAAGAGTTAGGATCCAGAGATTCCGGGTAATAGGTCATTTGTATGGTATGAATGCAGAAACTTCCTCTAGAGAATAGTATATTATGTAGGCCACGGTTCGAAGTATCAGCTGAGTCATATCCACCTCAGCCAACACTAATTCAATACCGAGACACGATACAAAAAAATCCCGAGTCTCTTCTGAATCGGTTTCAACTCGGTAAAACTCAGTCAAATCACCTTTCGAAATCGATTCGCACCAATTCAAACCGAGTCGTTCACCCTCACCCAAACACCAACAGACCAGAGAACAACCAAAAAAAAAAAAAGGAAAAGAAGATAATAGAAGATGAAAGTAGAGAACATGCCAAAAAATTAGAAATTAGATGACCCACAAAAAATAAACAGATTTGGCATTTGCAAAATTGAAGCAAGACATACGGCATACCTGTCAAGAATTGTAGTCCTGAGTCCGTAGAAACTAGAAAGCCCTTTTCTTCTTCTTGTTGGGAGCAAAAAGTATAAACCCTAAACCCTAGCATCGTCTCGTCGAAGTTCGAACCTCCATGTCATTTATGGCGAGTAGCGAAGCTACATCACTATCTTTCTATATCAATCTTGCGCCCTCGGTGACCAACGAGACCCACAGTCTCTCTCTCTCTCTCTCTCTTGTCTGACGACTGAAGGTTGAGTCTCGAATAGAGACTATTTTACTTTTTTTTTTCCTTTTTTAATTGTTTTTCCTTTTCAAGGACCCAACTCTCTTTCTCTTTCTTCCTCTTTCACAAAGGTCTCAAACCGAGACCCCAGTGTCGGTTTTAAGTTTTTTTTTTTTGAGTCCAATTCTTCTAATTTTTTATTTTCTGTTATTTATCACATACTTCAATTAGAACTTAAGAATCAACATTTAACTTAACTTTCAAAAATTATAAATTAAATACTTAAATTGAATACTGATAGTGATAATTATTTTCGATAATGCCCTCATGTTTCATTTTAATTATGTTTAATGTGTTTTTGAATGTATTGTGTATATATATGATACATGAATAATGATGTTTATTTTTTTAAAAAAAATTTTATGATTATTTCAAAAATTTTTTGGAGCTTCTATCTACTGTTTTAAGCGTATCAGCCAATATCGTGTTGCGATGCCACGACCGATGTGTATTGGTGCCCTCTAAGTTGATGGCCGATACCACGACTTTGAACCATGATGTAGGCAAACTTCTAAACTGGCACTGTCTGCCCAATAATGGGAAGTGGTGGGAGAGGTTATTTAAATATCAGAGAAGAGGATGTTTGAGCTATTAACTAACACATTAAGGGTGTTTTGGGAAAATAATAAGCTGAACGTCTTAGTATCCAATTTCCTATATTTCCATTTTGCTGCTTATGTAATACATAAATGAAAAGTATGATGAAACCACCAGTTGTTATTTGGTAAACTAACCCTTTCTCTTTCTTTCCACTTTGTAGATATACAATTATCAAGGAGTTGTCAATGAAGACTACAATATAGTGAACACACCTGCACCAAATGGTAAATCTAGATCTATTTTGAACTAGATATAGTTGGCCAGTTGTGAACTTTTCTGCTAATATTGCAAGGCATTTCTTGTCTCCACTTTTTTAGACATACAAGCAGCTACTCCCGCTGCCGTCATCCAGAATGATGTTGGAGAAGATGATGAGGATGAGCCCTTGAATGAAAATGATGATGATGATTTGGATGAAGTGGACCAAGGGGAGGAGCATAACCCAAATCATTTAGTTTTGGCCCAGTTTGACAAGGTTTAGTTCTACTGCTAACATAGATAGTTCACGTGTCACATGTATGTTTATGTTGACAATACTTAACGACATAATACAAATGTGTTGGCAGGTGACGCGCACGAAGAGCAGGTGGAAATGTACTCTAAAGGATGGCATTATGCACATAAACAATAAAGACATTCTCTTCAATAAGGTTCCTTTCATTGACCTAATCTTCAAACGTATGTTATATCTGCTGTTTCATTCAAACATTTAATTGTGATGCTGCCTTTCTTCTTCAGGCGACAGGAGAGTTTGACTTCTGATTTTGTTGAAGAGATCTCAGTTGCCAACAATGGCAATTGCATTTGAAGGCAAATCTGAAATATGAATGTGTTTTGCAATTTGCCATAAATTATTATCTTTGAATGGAAAACTTTGAGGGAAGAGGATGAGGTGCCATTCGAGGGGTTAGATGGGTGGCCAGTTGTACATAAAGGGAGAGTTTTTGGCCCTAAATGGTTGTTTTTTTCCCTTCCTGAAGCTAAACATTTCTCTAATGGAATGTGTAATTCAATATACTGTATACTTGGTGACATATTGGTTAATTTACAAAGCAATTGTGTTTTTGTCTTCCATTTCTTTTATGAAGTTCTGGGCATTTGAAAACAATAAAAATGTTGGCCGTGGTCTTTGTCCTGCCTTTGCTCAGTTTTAACTCTCTGTGGCAGGAGAGCAATCTGCTTCGAGTCATAACAAGAATTGGAGCATGAACTGCGTAGTAACACTATTTGTGGGTCTGTTAGGTTCCCGCAAATCAAAATCACCAAAGTGAATTGGGTTTACATAATTATAGGAGGATGGTTCCATGGACGAAACCATCCAATTCCTCCTTTTCAACAATTTAAGCAGAGGATAGGAGAAAGTTGAGCTGCGCATCCCTCACATCTTATGGCAGGTTTCTCAATTGTTGTTTGTCTATTTTTGAGTCGATGAAACTTTGGTCGTTTAGTTGTTCTTAAATGTGCTATCATGAATAGTTAATTTTGTGTACATAACATTACTCTTATATATTGTTATTAAGACAAATGATAGACTGATTAAAGCATACGTTTTTTATTCTTTCTTACATAGCACAGCAAGACCATCATCTTGAGGTTAAAGCTGGTCTGTTCTAAAATCTTAGGAAACAAAGAAAAGAGAAGGAATAGGAATGTGGTAATGAATAGATCACAACATAACCAAAGCAACCAGCATTACAGTGAAACAACTGTTGCAAAACCAAAAGTGGCCGGAGCTGCGACGCAAGTGCCTGTCAAAACCTCACTGCACCCGGTTAACAATTGTGCATTGTGATTGGAAAAAAGCCAAGAGAGTTGAAGGTTCTGTCAATGCGTCCACGGCTGGATGTTGCCATCCACCTGATGCCGGGGTTGCACCCAACTCATTATGATCTCGTTCATCGTTGCCATTACCTGCTAATCGAATCTCTTCTGCCTCATGCGAAAACTGGGGAGAAAGTACAAGTGGAGATAACAATGGAATTGCACAGGAAGAGGAAGCATAAGGTTCGGTATTGCCATTGTTCTCGATTCCATCAAGCTGAAGAGCTGCAGGTGCGTGTTTTTGCAGCCTGGTAGGGGACTTTCCACTTGGGGGTCGTGCCCCGGGACCGGCCTCTTTGTCGCTGTTCTCCATTGATGAAGAAGAATGTAAACTCGAAACCACAAATTGACAAGACGAGAGGATTGTGTTTCAGCCTATGTTTCTCTCAATGGCATAAACAACTTTATGGTATTGATTTAGATTTGATGGAGCTAGAGAAAAATGGAGGATAGAGAGGGGATGGTATCATGGTAATAAATAAGACTTCGTCTTGAGGAGCGGAAAGTATGGGGGCTGTTAGGGAGGTGAAAGGTCAGGAGGGGTATGCCATTCCACTTGTCAATCCTGTCCTGCAAAGGATATGCATGAAAGGTGTCATTTTTGGCTTCTGTGGCTCTTATTTTTCTCTTTATTTTTGGGTGATTATGTGATTAAATGAAAAAGAAAAAAAAATTTAAACCATGGTTTCATTTTGATGTCAGGGGGGCTTCCTGTCTTAATTTACGTTGGATCAAGCCAAAATACAATTGGAATGTTTCTCTCTCCCATTTTATAAATGTGTTTTAATTTAATGTATCTACAGAACAAGAAAGAAAAAGAGAAATGGAATAGATGACAAACCTAATAAGAATTATTTATTTATTTATTTTTAACAGGTTCAAACTTTACCTTTTTTTATACTAGATTTATATAGTTACTTGTGAATGGAAAATATTGACTCAATCATACTCCCTAAATATGGGGTAATGTATTCATTCCTAAACAACACATGGGTTTTTATGTATTTAATCAAAAAATTTACATATTTCTGTATTGTTTTCCAAAACAGAAAAAAAAAAAAAAAAAAAATCCTAATCCGCCCTTGTGGGAAGTCCAAGGTGATCATACGAAAACAAGTGTTAACTATTGCATTTACGTCGAAATTGAAATTAAAAATTTCATTCAAACGAAAAAATGTGAATTTTTATTTGCTCGTCCTCGTTTGAATTATTAAAGTTTTTAGGTTAATTGAACTAGAAGTCCTAAAATATAGAGTTTATTTTATTTTGGTCATAAATATTTTAATTACATCTATTGAATATATTTTTATGTGGTATTTCGAATAAACAACGTCCAGTTTATTAACGATTTTTAATTATAAACTTGTCACGTAATATTTAAACATGGGCAAAAAAATAATTTGTAATAACTGTTGACCAAATTTTTATCCAAATTTAAGTTAAAGAACTATTTAAATTACACAATTTTGATAACGAATTATCCAAATTTTTGTCAAGAGCTATTTATATTACACATTTTTTTTTATCAAGAGCTATGTATCATGTAATAAGTTTATAATAAAAAATTATTAATAATTTGGACGTTTTATGTTTTAAAGACTGCACAAAAATATATTTAATATTAAGTTAATTGTATTAGAAGTCCCCAAAGTATGAGATTTGTCTCATTTTGGTCCCTAATGTTTCAATTGTAACATAAAATCCCTGAAGTATTAAATATATTTCTATATGGTCCCTCAAACAAACAGCGTCTAGATTTTTAATAATTTTTTTATCATAAACTTGTCACGTGATACTTATATGTGAAAAAAAAATTTTGGATAACTCTTGATCAAATTTTTATTTAAAATTTGGTTAAATATCTACCTAAATTACACAATTTTAATTATAAACTATCCAAATTTTAATCAAAAGCTATCACGTGATACTTAAATATGAACAAAAAAAAAATTGGATAATTCTTGACTAAATTTTTATTCAAATTTTAGTTAAATATATACTTAAATTACATAATTTTGATCATAAACTATCCAAATTTTGGTTAAAAGTTACCTATATTTGATATTACACATTTTTTTGTCAATAACTACCCAAACTTTGTTTAAGAGCTATCAAAATTATTTTTTGTCTATATTTAGGTATCACATGACAAGTTTATGATAAAAAATCATTAGTAATTTGGACGTTGTCTGCATGAGGGATAATATAAAAATATATTCAATATTTCAGAGACCAAAATGATATAATTGAAATATTTGAGACCAAAATAAGATAAATATCATATTTTGAGGACATCTAGTACAATTAAACTTTCAATATTTAAAAACTAAAATAATAAAATATTGATACATAAAAATACATTCAATATTTAGAAGCTAAAATAATAAAATATTGGGACCAAAACGACACAAACTCTTAATCCAAGTTTTTACAAGCGAAGTAGCAGACCCACTCAAACGACAAAAAGTAAAACGCAATAAAGCAACAAAATGAGACCACAGATTCATAGCCGATAAGGAGTGCATATATATAGCAGTGTAAACCACCGTAATCTGTCTCTCTCTACAATATTGATCATCTCAGATGGCGTTTACTGCTTCGACTCGACCTTTGTTGAACCTTCAGCTATCACGATTGCAGCCACTACCACTTCATCAATCCAAGAAATCAAAAACCCTCTTCCCTAACAATTACACCAACTTCAACTGCCCACACCCATGTTCCAGAAGCAACTTATCATCTTCCTCTGTTGGTCAACTTAGATATTCCATATACACGAAAATGCCCATGATCTCCGGTGGTGGACTGAGATTGAAGGTAAACATGCAGAAACTGAATGCTTTTGCTTGTATTCTGTTTCTTTATCTGTTTTTGAATGATTACTGTGATCACTTTGTATAATTGACTTTATGGTAGGTTCGAACTTCTTCAGCTTCAGGGGAAGAAGCAAAGTCGCTTGATTCTGACTCAGCATATCAAGAGGTTTTTGCTTGGTCATCTGTTATTGTGCCGTACGTTCTTTAATTGTTTAAACTTTTTTTGTTTTTGCTGATAATGGTTTACGTTCTTTAATTTCTAATTTTCTCTTGATTTGTTCTTTTCATTTGTCAATGAGGGTGAGTACCAATTTCTTTTAATTTAGTTGTTAAGATTATATATTTGTTAATGGTAGGGTACTCTATCTTTTCATTTTCTTCTTTGAATTTTTTGACAGGTAATTGATTACTTATATTTGATCGATTAGTGGCAATTTTATCATTCCTTCTGTTTCCGATATAGAAAATTGGAAGTGCAAATTTTCTGTTTAAAGGCTTTGGACTGGGCCTGCAACCCCAAAAAGAAAAGAAAAGAAAAGAAAAGTTGGCATTTAGAAAGTATTTCTCTTGCTAATTAAAGTTGAAGAATCGCATACTGTGCTTTTGAAAGCATGTCCAGATTAATGGTATAGAATCCTATGCTCCGTAATTGGGAGAATAAAGAAAAGTAATGGATTATGGTTCCATCATACCAACAAATTATGTGTTGCTGAAGTTTCTGATTTCTTTTTACATGAATTTTTGGTTTTCGATTGTGAAGAAATTGAACATTTTTCAGTAACTTGTTTAATTGATTTCAGGTTTCTCTTCCCAGCTTTGGGTGGTTTATTATTTGGCTATGACATTGGTGCAACCTCTGGTGCTACAATCTCATTGCAAGTACAGTTTAAATTTTGTGTATCTTAAGTTTGTCAATTTGGTTGACTATCTTGCAGCAATAATTTTGAAATATATTGTTTAGTTCAGTTCTACTTGTCTTGATGATTTTGTAGTCACCTGAGCTCAGTGGCATAACTTGGTACAATCTCTCAGCGGTTCAGCTTGGTTTGGTGGTATGGTTTATTTTCATTGTAGTGAAAAGCTCATATTATGTTCTGATAGTCTCCAGTCAACGATGTCTGCCCTTTTCTTACATTAGCTTGAATGTAGGTCAGTGGTTCTCTTTATGGGGCTCTTCTTGGTTCTCTTCTTGTCTACCCAATTGCAGATTTCCTAGGTACATTTCTTCCTTATGTCTTTCATTGTAAATTTTTAGTAGACCTTCTAATTATTTTTTCGCTTGACTTAATTAATGAAGGGAGAAGGCGGGAACTTATATTAGCTGCAGTTTTATATGTGCTCGGTGGTTCGATAACAGCCTATGCTCCAGCCCTTTATGTTCTTTTAATAGGCCGACTTCTTTATGGCCTTGGTATTGGTTTGGTGAGCATCCTTGGAGCTTTCTGTATCTTCTTATGATTGAGTTAGCTGATAACCTTATAGGGTGAGAAATTTTGCTTCAGTTTCTGATTTTTTTTTTATAGGCCATGCATGGGGCTCCTCTCTACATTGCTGAGACGTGCCCATCTCAAATTCGTGGAACTCTTATTTCTTTAAAGGAACTCTTCATAGTATTGGGGATTTTGGTATATATTATTATCTTGTTATTTTATTCCGTTTTCTAATAAAGCAATGTTGAGCGTTGAATGATAAATTTTCCTGCAGTCTGGTTATTTTGTAGGTAGTTTTCAGATAAATGCAATTGGGGGGTGGCGTTTCATGTACGGATTTAGTGCGCCAATTGCTTTGTTAATGGGATTAGGCATGTTGAGTCTACCGCCATCTCCACGTTGGTTACTTCTCAGGGCGGTTCAAGGCAAAGGATCCTTCCAGGAGTACAAGGAGAAGGCTGTCATTGCTTTGAGCAAACTAAGGGGCAGACCTGCTGGTGACAAAATATCCGAGAAGCAAGTAGAAAACACCCTTGTCTCGTTGAAATCTGCCTATACCGATCAAGAATCTGATGGAGGTTTCTTGGAGGTGTTTCAGGGATCAAGTTTGAAAGCATTTATAATAGGTGGAGGCTTAGTCCTTTTTCAACAGGTTATTTTCCATATATGTCACTGCAAGCTGTCATTTTGCTTTGATTCTTCACCCTTCTATTTTACTTCACCAAGTGTAGGAAACTTCTGGATGATAAAATGACTTACTCCCTGATTATGGCAGATAACTGGGCAGCCAAGTGTCCTATATTATGCCGGTTCAATACTTCAGGTAGTTGATATTTGATACTTGAAAATCAAATGTTTTTCTGTTGTGCTTACCTTGCTGCTTTTCTTTTCTTTTCTTTTTTTTTTGGATCCAACCATTCTTCTTGACCATATGGTATTTTTATGACAACTTATCTCAAGACTGCTGGATTCTCTGCGGCTTCTGATGCTACACGAGTTTCAGTCATCATTGGTGTGTTTAAGGTATGTTCATTAAGTAAGGAACCCCCAAAAGGAAAACATTAATTTTTTGAAATTTGTGCTGAGAATTCACATAACGAAGAAATTTAAATTCTCCCCGTCCAGAAGGTGCTATTTGCAGTTCTGTCAATAGAGGTTTTTTTTTTTTGGGAAAAAAATTATATGTATCTGCAGTTGTTGATGACAGGAATTGCTATCCTGAAAGTTGATGATCTTGGGAGGAGACCCTTACTGATTGGAGGTGTCAGTGGGCTTGTATGCATCCTAACCCTGATACACTTTTAATGTGTTTGACTTTTTGGTGTGACTTACATTACTTGTTGAATAAGAAGATGATGAAGAATTTCATTCTGCTGTTGCTCTCTGTCTACAGGCCCTTTCATTACTCCTCCTTTCAGCTTATTACAAAGTACTTGGAGGGATCCCTTTTGTTGCTGTAGCCGCTTTACTTCTCTATGTTGGCTGCTACCAGGTAACTGTCTATTGACTCTTGCCTGCAATACTCCCGTGACATTTTAATATTTTTTTTCTGATTAATGAACGATTTTCTGTCAGAATAAACTCTAATAAGAAGTTCCAAAATTGAATCCACATTTTGATGAACAGTATTTTGTGTCAATACCAAGTTAACTCATTCATATATGTTTTTTTCAAATTGTATTTTAGATATCTTTTGGACCTATCAGTTGGCTAATGGTATCTGAGATATTTCCGCTTCGCACTAGAGGGAAGGGAATTAGTCTTGCAGTTCTTACAAACTTTGGTTCTAATGCCATTGTGACCTTTGCTTTTTCACCATTGAAGGTATTGATTACAGTGCCATGACCATGGTTTTCATTTTGTTATATGAGCTGTATGGTCACCTAATATGTGCTAGATGGTCTTGGAGTTCCCATATTATTGCTCTCTATTTCTGTAGGACTTGCTGGGGGCAGAAAATCTTTTCCTTCTTTTTGGAGCAATTGCTTTGCTATCGCTTCTCTTTGTGGTACTAGTTGTTCCAGAGACGAAAGGACTGAGCTTGGAAGAAATTGAATCCAAAATCTCGAAGTGAAAGCTAAAATTTGGCAGAGCTATCATAATGACCTTCCAGTTTCCGAAACTTGGTTAATTTGTAAACCTATTTTTCAGTGTGGCATTAGGAGGTCGTCATGACCATTATTACTGTGAATCTGGTGTATCACTCTTATTTATTTATTTTTTTTTTTCACTTATCACATGTGTATGAAAACGTAATTCTACTAGTTGTCCATTTTATTTTTATTTTAAATTTTTTTCTGAGGTTTGACTACAACCAAGGTGGCTTATACTGGCGTTGAACCTTTTTCGATTTAAATTTATCACAGGAAGAAAATCGCCAGAGCAGCTAACTGATTTATGTCCACCAACATTGTTTGGTTTAGGAAAGCTGATGATTCCTGTTTCCCACGGATGTACATTCAGGGATGTCAAAAGACATCAAAGTTGATTGTAATGGCAGGTATGACTTGTTTTCATGCCATTTGGAGCTCAAGACGTAGCAAATAAATCATTTGGAGCTGAAGCAAGCAGGTATTTCCATGGGTGTCCAAATCTATGAGAGCTGTTTGACATAGACGAGCATGATTCATTGATACAACTGTGGTAATGCTAAAACTCGACAAAACATTGTCTTAACTAATTGGGGTCGGCTAATATGTTATGAATTTTCTATCATCAAAGATTTTAACAAGTGATCTTACTTTTAGTGGTGAAGAGAGAAGCTTAAACCCAAAACCTCAAAACAGTCGCTACAGTTCAAGGCATGGGAGTAAATCCTAATTTCTACATCAGAAATGGTTGCTCTAGACTGTGCCATATGTCACTTGCGCCAATTCCAATCTTCTGGCCATTAGAACTTCATAAACCAGGCCACATGATTTCTAGCTATGCAGATATATGAACATTAACAACCACTTCAGCACTCCTGTTCTAGTGGGGAATCAATTGAATTGATCACACAGCCTCCAGGGACCTTCAATCTATGGCTTCAATCTTCTCAACCGTAGGACCCGTTAACTGGACACTGGTACTATGTTTTCCCACCATTTCTATTTCTTATTCCTCTTGATTTCTTAAAATAGTAGCTTTGAAACTGCATATATATTCATATTCTATTACGAATCTACTGCTCAAGACACACATATTTTTCATTCTTTCATGATGAAAATCTTAAACTATACTGTTATCAAAGGTTTCATTCGGAATTTGAATCATACAAGAGCTACATGTCATGCAATGGTCTGAATTACTTTTATTGACTCTATTAGTCTGTGTGCACTATAGAAAGATGGTCTCATAAGATTTTATACTTTAATATAGTACTAGTAAATGTTCATGCCTGAAGGCACGAAGTAACCAAAAAATCAACATATTGTGCCTCCTTATTTTTGTATCACTAACTGCAAGAAAATAAAAAAGTCAATAACCTAGTCTAGCATCACAATAGCAACCATACCGGATAACCACAACCTTGTCGTGTACAAATTAAACCACCCATAATATGCTTTGTTTCTAAACACAATCTTGTATCTAAAAAGTGCCTAAATATGCTCAATTTTATAGTAGAAATATATAATTAGTTAGATAATCTCATGGATGATTAAAGGATGAAGAACCTCCCAAACAAGAAAACTCGACTTAAGAATCATGGTTTAGTATGTTCCAAGTTGTGATAATTTCATCAAGCCTTCAATGTGAAAAAGAAAAATAAAGTCCCAATTGCATCCAGCCTTGATGTAAGTATTGATTGGTTGCTCAAACACCTTACATGCTTTATATCAAACACCTTGCATGCATTTTATCATCAAACAACTCGATGACATATAAATTCAAATCGAGCATTAGTCCATTCATACAGTAACAAACCTGCACTCAAAAAATTGAGCATTACTCCATTCATACAGTCCCAAACCTGTACCCAAACTTTATAGTATTTCCTCTTCTTTATGAACTCCAAAATTATTCACAAACACATTATAAAACCCAGAATAAAATCAAGTCAATATGACGGAATTTACGTGATGCTTGCCAAAGAGTTGTAAACAAACCAATTGCTAAAGAAAGCATGCATGCAAAAATATAAAATTAACACATTCATACAGAACTACCCATTAAGTTGTCCATAAAGAGGTTTGGATCAATGAGAGGTGCACCCAATTATGAAGAGTTACTCTATAACCTGATCATAGCATACTAAAATTTTCATAAAACCAAGCAACATCTATATTCTTGAGAGTACATTAGAAGTTACATCCTGGAAATTTCATCCAAACAGAGAGTTGAAATTATCGAATTATCTACCAAAAATCATAATGTGAAAATTATAGAAATTACATCGATAAGAACTCATGCTTGATACAATATATTGAGAGAAATTCGTATACATCCCATCAAGGCAAAGAAATTTTGATCGATTATCATGCAAGAAACGTTTCTGCTTTGCTTTGTACATAAAAGAACAATCCAATTATCAAAATGTAGATAGTATGAAACCTAATTGATCTCAAATTTGTGGCATCAAAATCCACTTAAAAATTCACAACAAATATAACCATAAAAATCTGAAAAATTATGATAATGCAAAAAAGAAATACCTTGTTACAACTTCTAGGGGTTGGTATGCCAAGGTGGTGGAACCAAGCAAAGCTCACCAATTGAATAAATTATATCTAGCCTGCTCAACAAAAAAAAAAATAACATCAAAGCTCACCAATTGCATAACAATAAAAATAAAAGGACTTCGGAGGCGAAAACAAATGTACCATTCGATCAAAAACTAGTAAGGTGAACTCTTACTCTAGTCCAAGTACCATTAATCAAAAGGTATAGAATCCAAACCTACTTCGGTGGACACCATGAATTATTCAACACCAAGTTCACAACGTATTGAAACCTAAGATAATGAAGAATGAAATTTAGGTCAAATTTATATTGAACTATTCAACAAAATGCCAAACTTTAACTATCAAAGGCATCTTTTGAATCTTACAATCCCCAAATGACTAATCCGAAGACCCATTCAAAAGCATCAAATGAAAAACCTATATACATCTACAAACCCAAAGCTTCAAACTCCACATATTGAACTCACATCAAAAGACGGACCCTACAAAATATTTAAAAGACCATTTTGGAAACCTTAAGCATTGGGAGGAACTCACCTATATTCAACCGACCATTTCGGAATTTTAATCATATAAGAGCTACATGTCATGCAATGGGCTGAACTGCTGTTATTGACTCTATTAGTTTGTGTGCACTATAGAAAGATGGCCTCATAAGTTCTTGTGCTTTAATATAGTATATGAAATTGAAGCTTTGGATCATGTACCTTGACTTTTTGATATATAAGTCTGTTTTGCTGCAGAGGCAGTGAAGTTGATCTGGATATGTATTTGAATTATGTGGCTTGTTTAACTTCCATGCGGTTGAGCTTGAACAGTTCTAGTTCTGGAGGTTCAGTCCCAAGCTCGGCTTTTTTGGGCAGCAGTTTTAAGAAGGTGAACTCTAGATTCAGTAACCAGAAGGCTGAGTCTAAAGTGTTGAAGATTGTGGCTGAAATTAACGATGAAAAGCAGACAGACAAAGACAGATGGGGAGGCCTTGCCTATGACGTTTTGGATGACCAGCAAGACATCACTAGAGGAAAGGGAATGGTTGATTCTCTCTACCAAGCTCCCATGTGCGGTGGAGCACACGATGCTATTTTGAGTTCATATGAATACATCAGCACGGGACTTCGCCAGTAAGACACTTAGAATTTCCATTTGAGATGTTGGGTTTGTGGTTTTGAACTGATTCTTAATTGTAAGATTCCAATAATGCTTTTCAGATACAACTTGGATAACAACATGGACGGATTCTACATTGCTCCTGCTTTCATGGACAAACTCGTAGTCCACATTAGCAAAAATTTCTTGACTCTTCCTAACATCAAGGTGAGTCTAAATAGATTTGAGAATCCATGAAATTTTTCATGACTCAACCTTGATCTGGGAAAGAGAAACCAAACACTTCCATGAATTTGTAACACCTTAGATTCTCGGAATTTGGGGAGGCAAAGGTTAAGGGAAATCATTTCAGTGTGAGCTAGTCTTTGCCAAAATGGGAATCAGGTGAGTCCATGATCCTATTGGTAAACCAGTGTAATTTAAAACATCTCTTGATTAACAATTTATGTTTCGTCTTTAAAACACTGTTTTGTGATCCTATTTGATGTCATTGTAATGGACCTTCAGCCCAATTATGATGAGTGCTGGGGAACTGGAAAGTGGGAATGCAGGAGAGCCTGCCAAATTGATCAGGCAAAGATACTGTGAAGCAGCTGACATAATCAAGAAAGGAAAAATGTGCTGCCTCTTCTTCAATGATTTAGATGCAGGAGCGGGAAGGCTTGGTGGAACCACCCAGTACACTGTCAATAACCAGATGGTGAATGCCACCCTTATGAAGATTGCAGATAATCCCACCAATGTCCAGCTCCCTGGTATGTACAACAAGGAAGAAAATCCCCATGTGCCAGTCATAGTCACCGGTAATGACTTCTCCACCTTGTATGCCCCCCTTATTCGTGATGGTCGTATGGAGAAGTTCTATTGGGCTCCTACTTAGAGAGGATCGGATTGGTGTTTGCATTGGAATCTTCAGGAGTGACAATGTTCCAGAGGAGGATGTTGTCAAGATTGTTGGCACTTTCCCTGGCCAATCCATTGGTAAGCTAAGTGACAAACTAAATCTAACAGCATTGGTAAATAATAGAAATTTTTGAAACTAATCAGCAAACTGTCATACATTGAGACAGACCTTTTTGTGCCCATTCTTCAGACTTCTTTGGTGCCCTCAGAGCTCGAGTTTACAATGATGAGGTGAGGAAGTGGATATCTGGTGCTGGAGTTGAGAACATTGGGAAGAAGCTTATGAACTCAAAAGAGGGTCCCCCGCCGGCTTTTGAGCAGCCCAAAATGACACTCGAGAAGCTTCTTGAGTATGGCAATATGCTTGTCCAGGAACAGGAGAATGTCAAGAGAGTTCAATTGGCAGACAAGTACTTTAAGTGAGGCAGCTCTTGGAGAATCAAATGAGGATGCTATTAACAGAGGAACTTTCTATGGTTAGCTAGCACCTTTCACCCTAGAGGTCTTTCCTAATTAATCATGCTGTAAGAAGAAGTGTTATTTGAACATTTATTGTTTGTTTGGACACAGGTAAGGCAGCTCAACAAGTTCATGTTCCTGTCCCTGAAGGTGGCACAGACCCATCTGCATCAAACTATGACCAACAGCTAAAAGTGATATTGGGAGCTGCCAGTATTAAACCTAGATCAACTTTATTTCTCTTAGTAGGGGAAAAAGTTTTTATTTTTTTATTTGTATTTTTTGAAATGCCTTCTAAGAGGCATTGCCACTTTTCTTTTTATGTCCACTACCTCTAAGTTTTGCTGGTAAAGTCGAGCTTAATTAATTAGTACCTTATGTTAATGTCAATAAGTGATTTGAATACTCTGTTGTTTGTCTCGTTTTTCTTCTTGATAGATAAACAAAAGGGAGAAGCATCGTGTGCGTGAACTGTTATGCGAATAAGTTTTTTGTTTTTTTTGAATTTTTCAGACAAAATTATTTGTTACAGTTGAAGCCATTAAAGAAAAGCTAGAACCTTTTTAAGAACACAGTTCACAAAATGAAATGCATTCGAGTTTTTCTGCTTTGAGAGCAAGCTCATGAATCATGATGAATTTAGAGTCATATATATTTTTTTTTGCATTTCTTAGAAACATGGGGCCATATATACGGTGGCATCCACCTAAGTTACTGAGTAGCAAAATAAGACAGAATCCATTGATTTGCCAAGTGATCCTTGGTAGATCTCCAGATCGAAGTAAGGTATTACAAAAATTCTGCGACAACCACTGAACCATAAAGCCATTGAATCTCCAGCGCGCTATTATCGATTCAATCATACGCAGTAGTTGATTCCAGGCAGAAAGTCATTTAATCTCTGTGTTGCTTCATGTTTGGAAATAACTTTGTTTACAAGATTCTAAAAATAAATTAGTCGACTCATTCTTCGACAATCATCATAACATTCTTTTAGAAATGTCCCTTATACTCTGTTTCTGACTACTCAATAGTCAGTGAATTTTTTTCACAATAAGTAATTTCTGCAGAGGGATAAAACTTACATCGATTCTGTTTCGAACAAGATGAAGAATACTACCCTGGTTCATAGTTAAATTCTGGGTGGTTTAAGCAGAAAAAAAAAATCAAAAAGACCACTGCCATGGATTTCGAATGCAAGATAACGTATGCTGCTTCCTTTCTATTCGTATTAAGGGATTTACTAACTCAAAAAAAAGATCTACAACTTGAGAGCTATTAAGGCAGTATCCAGGTATCTGCCCATATATTGATAAGTAAAAACAATTCTCAAACAAAGAGTTATTTTTACAAAGCAAAAGCATTAACACCACATCAGGCATATCCACTACATTGAACATCTTGAATTCAGCGGCCAACGTGGAGGACAGAGTCGTTGCTGGACATCGATTGAACAGAAATCTTCCCATACGATGACAATTCAAATGAATTAGGAGCTTCACTGCCCATTACAACCATCCCAACTCCTGCACTGTCAATAAGTATATCAGGCAAAATTGCATCCCCATCCAAAAACTGCATCACTTGCCTCATGCTAGGCCTAGCCGCCGGATTAGAGTGAGAGCAAATAAGACCAAGCTTCAAAACCAATTCCATTTCCTCCAACACATAATCCCCTCCCAATTTAGGATCACACGTCTCGAGAATCGTTCCTTGTCTCCATTTCTCGAAAACCCAATCAACCAGAATCATCTCTTCAGGCAATCCGTTCACTTCCATAGGCCTCCTTGCACAAGCCATTTCGAGCATAAACGCCCCAAACGAAAAGACATCGGTGCTCGTAGTTGCCTTACCAGTTACAGTAAGCTCTGGCGCGAGATAGCCAACGGTGCCAACCACATGAGTGGTTTGAGGGTTTGCACCATGATCATAGAGCCTGGCAAGCCCAAAATCTCCGAGACGCCCGTTTAGATCACCGTCTAACAGAACGTTACTGGCCTTCACATCTCTATGTAGAACAACTTGTTCCCACTCTTCGTGCAGATATAGAAGGGCTGATGCTATCCCTCTGAGGATTCGAAAGCGTTGAGTCCAATTAAGATATGGTTTTTCGTTGCTGAATAAGAACTTGTCGAGACTTCCATTTGGCATATAATCATAGATCAAAAGAAGCTCTCCCTTTCCTCGGCAGTAGCCAAGGAGGGCCACCAAGTTCCTATGCCTTAGCCTTCCCATGGTGGCAAGTTCAGCCACAAATTCTTTCATCCCTTGAGCCGAATTATGAGAGACTTTCTTCACTGCAATTTGTGCATTGGAAGATGGAAGTACTCCTTTATAAACCTTTCCAAAACCTCCAGCTCCGATAAGCTCTTCTTCCTTGAAGCCTTTGGTTGCTTTGTATACATCCTTGTAGAAGAACCTCTGAGGTCCATATTCCTCTTCCCAATCCTCGCGTATTTCTTCATACTTTTTTTTCCGTTTGATGTAAGCAATCCCAACCACAGTGATGATCATCACAATCAGTACTGTTACGGCTGAGACTGTAATTTCTAGAACGGGTATTGTTCTTAATTTTCTGGGCTTGGGAGATTGAGGAAGTTTTGAGGGATCTAAGATTTGTGCTGCCCCAGTTTTGTTGAAGCTCCACCCAAGAACATAATGGTTGCTTGCCACAGCTGACCCTGTAGCTGCGGAGAAACCAACATACATAGATTCGTTGAAAATTTCAGAAAGATCAACAGCCCTTGACAAGAGAGGTCGATTGGGTCTCGGAATTCTGATCGGAGCAATTGTAACGGTGAGAAACTTTTTCACTCCATCATAATCGATCCAAACCTGCAGTGGGTTTCCACTCATAAGCTGCAAGCTCTTGTTCGTCCCCTCCCGGTCGGAAAAATACGCCGCCGTCGCCGAAAAATTGGATGTAAGGCTATTGAGATCAATACCCACATGATTGCCGTCGATATCTTCAAACTCAGGGTTCTTCAGAGTATCAAACTCAACGGCGAACATGTGGTTCGATGCCAGACCGTTGTTGGAAGCGTTGAGAAGACCCAAATACTGGTTCGTCAGTGATGCGGGAAAGATCACCGACGGCGAGATGGTGAAGGCGAAGCCATGGCCGTTGGGAATTCTGGGTTCAGGAACGATGGCGAAGACAAAATAGGTGGAAAAAGAGAGAGACTCAGATGAATTTGACGAGGAGGCGTTGAATTTCAGTTGTTGAGGATAGAAAGCTCGGCCAACCTGTCTTCTTGAACTGTTGGTTAATTGCAACAGACCATTGGGGTGGACGTTTGTGAGTCCATCTTCACGAAGTTTGGCTTCACGGAAGCCATGGTAGATGAACTGGTCTTGAGCTTGAACTGAGGCCAAGAAGGTGAAGAGATTTAGAAGTGATATTTGAAAGATTATCAGGAAATGAACAGATTTAGCCATTAGAGGAGTGAGAAAATTAAGGATTTTTCTCTCTGGGTTAAGATTTGGATTGTGAAGAGATGTGTTCTTGGGTTCAACTCATTGTTCCTAGGAACCCAACAGCTCATACCCAATAAAGAGGCCAGTGGGTCAAACATGAAAGTCGTCGGGAAAATAAGCACCTCGTGGACAAGAAAAAAAAGAAGCAACTCATATTTTTTACTTTTTTGTTTCAACCATCTGTCCACGGTAACTTACTAACATTTTAATTTTTTTTTTTTTGATTAAAGATAAATTATTCAGGTTGGTATTAAATAGTTTATGAAAAAATTTATGAGACATAAATTTCTCATCATCTAGTTCTAAAAAATTACTAAAATTCGAACCCAAAATATTTATATTTACAACTCATTCTTGTTACAATTTGAACTAAAATTAAAATTGAAACATCTCATATTTTGGAAGAATGCCAACGATATCAAAATAATTATAAAATTCAGTTAACCATTCGCCATATATAACTTTTTGAAATATTTAAAATTTTTAAAATTTTTGAGATATATTACAAACCCTAAAAAAAATTATAACTTGTTCTAAAAAAATTATAATTATAAAAATTGTAAAAAGAACCCAAAAGATATAATTATTATGATTATCCACACTTTACTTGGAATTGCACCCCCCCCCCCCAAAACAAATAATTGTATGATAAATCTTAAAAAATTATAATTTTTGATAACATTATTTCTTCAGTACTAATAAATAATTTTTGGTATAAAACATATTAATTTTATTAATATTCACAAATAAATCAGCACTACCACTATGATTTTTTATTTTTATTTTTAATTTTTGTGGGATATAGGCGGACCATAGTCATTTCCTTATTTTCACCTAATGGCAAAAATGTTATCAAGTGATTTTGATGGGTGAAAGAAGAAATAATTGTTTGTAGCTTCGTAGGTGGTGGAAAATTTTGGGTGGCAAGTGGCAGCGGCACAGGCACAGGCACAGGCACCCAAGGAAGACTTATCCTATATAATATTTCACTGCGTGGGAGACGGGGTAACGACCAATTGGTCTCCATTCTTTTTCGGTGTTTACGAGGGACCCACATAAACTAACATTATACTGGTCAATAAAGTAATGCCCCACCCCCAACCCCGACCCCGACCCCAACCCCACCTTGTGATAGCATTCCAGCATTTCTTTTTCTTTGGGTAACCGTGGGATTGGGTGATTATTAGGGTATTTGTGGATCGAGTAGTATTGTATGGTATTTAATTTGTGTTATTTTAAGTTTGTATTAAGGATTAATTAATTTTAAATTAATTTATTTAATAGATTATGTCAGATATTTTGAAGGACTTTTTTATTATTATGTAAATCATTTGTATAAATCATGATTAAAAATAATAATGTAAGACCATGATTATATTATTTCTTAATCAAATTCATTCAACCTAGAATTTTTTTCTAATTAAAGAGGAAAACTTAATTTATATAATAGTAAAAATAAATAAAAAATGATTAATATTCATTTTGTAATTAGCGGCCTTAATTGTGGGTCAAAACGGGCACCGTAGTTTTAAGACACAACGGTCCGTACAAGGCATGAGATTCTGGAAGTCAGCCAGCCAGTCCTCTTCGGCGGCTGACAGAACTGATGCTACATTCATACGTGGCTTAGCCACTGCACAACCTCTACGATGGTATCATAGTCCAGCTCACCTAAGGAACGCAGGCTGCAGCTAAATTGGTCAAACTGGTTGGGGTTGGAATTTTTGGCTCGATACGCTAACACGGTACGGTATGATACGATGTGATGTCTATACAAAATTAATAAATTAAAATTTATTGTTTTTAATAGAAAAAATTATATTCAGAGTGATGAAGTTTGATACTCGATTATTCAGATTTTTTAATATTTAAAATATTATATACATATCCCTTAAAATTTATATTTGCATAACACTTACACCTTCATTATAAATATTTTTATTAATAACCTTAAAATTTGTAAACATATATTACTTATACTTTTTAAGTTTAAAATATTATATTTATATAAACAATACTTCAATCAAAGATAAAATATCAAATATTTTAAATTTTATAATTAAAATTCATGTTTTATTGTATCATGTATTGAAATAAAATAAAAAAATAAAAATTCAATTTTTTCTTATAAAATCATAATTAGTATACAATTATATTGTTTATTGTAATTTAATTTGGTCGTTTAAAAGACGAAATTAATATACCAAATGCATAAGATAGATCCTGCAATCTCGTAAGGTAGCGGTCCCTTGACTAAAAAACCTGAAAAAACAAGGTTAGAAGAAAAGGGGTCAGGCGTGAGCCCGACGAATCCCCTCCGAAGCTTAAGTCAGTAAGATCAAATGGATGTTTTTTAGTCAATGAGCTATGATTTGATTTTGCATACATTTGTCCATTTTTCTGAGAGATATTTATACCTAAATTAACAATGATTGCTCTAGATCTTCAGTCCCATCTGGACATCTCACATCTGACTCACCATCTCTCGTGCTGTGAATGCTTCCCCTTTACGCCTCCTCGAGTTGAATGCTCGGGGAATGGTATAAGTGCTTGGCCACAAGCCGAACATTTATACTACGAGCCGAGCAGCCCAATCCAAGAGGTCGGCGTCTGACACCGACAGGGCACGGACTACTCGGTGGATCAGAGAACTCGGGAGAACCAATCGCGTTGTTTTGGCGCATCAGTCATTAATGCTTCAGTCATCACGACAGTAGGCATAGACTTGCAGAGAGCAGTTGGTGGCAGCTCCGCATTTATTTGTCTTGTCACTATCATTCATCTCGCCATAAATGCGAGGTCACATCGCTTTGACTATGATGCCAACTGTTGTACTTGGCCGCTCTGTGTCACCATGTCTCGGCTCACTCTCTCGGCATCTTTCAGACATCCTAAGGACTTTATTGGGCCACGTGTCACCTTGGGAGTTGAGGATCCACACAGGAGTCCCGTCAACTGCCCCCCAGCCGCAATCCCTTACGCAGTGCTCGACAAGTGGAGTGAAGGGATTGGGGCTTTATCACCATGCCTCATTAATGGTGACGGTTGCTTGCACGTCTGGTGCTGCCCTTTTCAAATGCCCTAATGATGAGCCAACTCCTCGATTCTCGCTCCTTATGAGGCACTATAAATAGGGGGTTTCTCTGCCTTCTAAGAACTTCTACATCCTTCATCTCTCCTCAGCAATTAAACCCCGAGTGCTCCCCTGTCCTCCGAGTTTCCCTGGTTCTCCAAGCTCTCTTTGAAGACCAACCTCCTGTAAGTACTTCCACTTGAACTTTTTCTCTCTCCGTTTCTTCTACATTTCGCCCTCTTAGCTCTCA